GATGTAATATGTTACAGCGGATTTGCGATTTATCTTCTTTGTATGCCGTGTAATGTATTAATGGTATCAGACTCACGATATTGCTGCTTATTTGTATATCACAAATGGACTAGAAGCCCTTAAAATGTGGGTGTAGAAATATCTTGGGGTTCACTAGTATTTATAATGTAAGTATTTCAGATGCTTTTTCCATAATGCAGTGTGTATGAACAATTAAAAGAATTTGATTTATGAAAGAATGTTATGAAATATGTTGTAAGCTTAACTCAGTAGGCTTAATTTAAAAAAACATTAAATGGTGTTGTCTACCTCATAATGCCCACCAATTTTCATTCTTAAATTACCATCCTCTTAGCTGAGCTTATCTGCACCCACAATACTGGAGTTACATTTCACAATTTGACATATAATTCTTGAATTTTGATAAGGAAGTGATTGCGTTATCAGAGAGAGAGCTTTTTACCTCTGCAAAGCAATCTCATGTATTATTGATTAACTTTCAACGTGGTTAACTGAATAGCTAAGTGGACAAATATCTACATGCCAATGAAGGTTTACTATATCATTAATTCTTTACCCCATCTATAAGTTTTCAGACTTTCAATGTGGCAGATCTGCTTTTCAATGTACTGCATTTCTTCCACTCTTTCAAACCTTTAACATAAGTGCCTTGGAATGAAAAAATTATGGGATTTACAGGAGTGGAGAGCTGTTCATAACAGTCTCATCTTGGCAACATCTACCTGTAGAAGCAAATTTGCAAATTTGAGTAATTTTCTGTGTCTTGATATGTAAGACGTGGAGTCAATCAGTATATCCTGAATTCTGTACTGTAATGAGCTATGTCTTCTGCTGCAACACTTTCTAATTCTGATGATACTAGTCACACTGATGGGGAACATCAGCTCTGTTATAAACTGGTGCTTCTTGCAAACAAAATTCACTACAAATTTGTGGGCATATGTAAGATACAAAATTTGTCTGGCGTCTGTGTTAAGTGTTACAGTGCAAACTCTTCAGCCCTTGATATATAAGCAGGTAGAGTTCTATACATGCAGTGTCAGCTCTAGGAAGAGTTTACCCCAGCATTTAATAACCCCACCACTAACTACTTGAATAAACATGGACTTCAGGGATTCATACCACTCTTGATTGAAACAGTATTGAGGAGTGGAAGCTGCTTGAAATCTCTTAGAACTTTTGTAATTGCAAAATTACTCTCATCTGTTAGAAAGTTTGAATAAAAAGTGTTTGGGGCTGCGAGGATTTGAGTTCAAAGAATAACTGTGGTTTGCCAAGGCAAGAAGTAGATAATTAAAACAATGTTTAGAGACACTGAAAGCTTCGAAATGAGACAACTTTAAGGCTAATGCTTTCTAGACTGGAGAGGAAAGAAAGTGAAAACAACCCAAGAATGTATTAATGCACATGTCATTGAATTTCCTAGCAGTTCCTGAGAGTTGTATAGTAACAACTGCAGTTATTATCAGAAAACTGACTGTAAGAGTCATATTCTGACATTTCAGTGTATTATGTGGCTAAGAGTTGCCACACCAAACTTGCTCAATTCACAAGTCAAAACAAGACTTTATTATAAGGCTAACAGTGCAACCACAGTCTGTTGTCTGAAAGTTGGCCGCTGCTGTTACTGCATACACCACCACCAAGAGGGCTGACTTTGGACCTAGGGCTTCTATTACAGTCCTCTTGGTGAACCATGAAGGAAAACAGAATTTGCTTTGTAGTTCTGCAGCATACTGAGTCATTGGTGTTAATGCTAATGACTAGTTTTGTCTGGGGGTTTGAGAGATGTGACTTCAAAGACACATACTGTAGTAGACACACGAAGTAACAAGGTGCCATTTCTATAGGATATTTTTCACCTTAAATTCACCTAAAGGTTTATGTATTAGGCTCACTATTTACTAAATATCCAGTACTGCAGATAGATATTGAGATGTTTTCACAGCACATTAAGGCTTATATTTTCTCTAATAAATATGATTTCATTTATAGCTATGGTCTCCTAAACTACTGCAGAGGACACATGCCCATCATGAAAAATGGCTTGGTTACACTCGGAGGTCTGCTAGGAAATATTGTTTCAGTTATTTGGAGATGCTAGTGACATCAGTTTGAATTTCCTTTTTTTTCCCCCTTTTTTTCTTTTCTTTGTCTTCCAGTACTTAGTTATAGAGAAAAATTTCCCGTCTTTGAAGTAGTTGATTCTGCATTATGGTTGATTTGAGAGTTCAGAGAGACACTCAGTTATACAGCTAGTATCCAAACAAATCTTCATTTCTTTTAAATTCTTCAGGACAGGAAAATTTCCATTCAAATTGTTTTCTTATGTTGTTGACATTGTTTAAAGGTCGAGTAGAAATATTCTTATGTGCGTTATTTTCATGACTGATGCAGGGGTGTAGTTGGAGGTCAGGGCTGAGCCACCCCAGTGCCTTGCCGTTGCCATCAGGAGTTGCACCATCTGCCTGTCCCTCCTTCCCACATCCCCTTTCCTCTCCCAAATGATGCCTTACTCAGGCTGGGACGCGCCCTCCCCTCTGCTGACTCCTGTGCTCATCTGACTGCATGGGAAACCAGTGACTAAAATACGTTTGCCTTTTTTGCTGGGCGAGTTTTCTGCGTGGAGCCAGCTTCCAGTGCGCTCAGAGAAGCGCTGAAGCCCAACAGAGGCAGCAGCAGCAGGGCCCCGCGCCTGGGAGGAAGAGGAGGTGAGGAAGAAGCAGCTCTTCCTATTTTAGCTGCAGTCGGCTTGTAACTGACTTAGCTGTGTCACATGTCTACACCTTATGAAATGACCTCGTTAATTTGGGTTTTTTTTCATGATGTAAAACTACATAAACATTTAGGAAAATGACAGAGTTAATGCCTGAGTTTCTGCAATTACTGTGCTGGGCCAGAGTTGGAGGAACCCTGTTGATCTTAGAATGGTTATTCCTCATTCACAGCTGTGCAAATTGGTGACATCCACCAAAATGATTTATGAAAGCTTTATGATAAATCTCAATTTTGGAGTAAATTTATTTAGTGTTAGCTGCAGCATTTGGGGTTTGGGTTTTTTTTTAATTGATCCAGGAGAGAGATTATTTATCTTTTCCTATAAATGGTAGCATGTCCTTGAAAATGAGTGTTTGAAAAGACTTTTTAAAAGATGTTTTTACTAATGCTTTGGAGTTTATTTGGCTTTAAAAGTGCATCTCAAAATTTTGTAGGTGCTTATTTATGTTTATAAATACGTAAAGGGCAAGTGTCAGGAGGATGGAGCCGGGCTCTTCTCGGTGATGTCCAATAATAGGACAAAGGGCAATGGGTGCAAGCTGGAGCACAGGAGGTTCTGCATTAACATAAGGAAAAACTTTTTCACTGTGAGGGTGACAGAGCACTGGAACAGGCTGCCCAGAGAGGTTGTGGAGTCTCCTTCTCTGGAGACTTTCAAAACCCGCCTGGATGCGTTCCTGTGTGATCTGCTCTAGGTGGTCCTGCTCTGGCAGGGGCGTTGGACTAGATGATCCTAGGTCCCTTCCAACCCCTAATGTGCTGTGAAATTTCTCTGAAATAACCTTCTAAGTACTACCTATGGATCAAGAGTCTGTGAGCTCATAATATATACTTCTAGGTTCAGTATTAAAAAGTATTTTTATGTTCCTTTTAGCTAATATCACTTTCTGAGAATAATGATAGAACTGCAATCATAGAAAGATGACACTAATATAAGGCCCACCTCTTAGGTTAGAAAAGATACTGCCAAGGATCAAGTACCTTTTATTCAAGGAAGGAATTTACCCCTCACATTTTTGTGGTTGAAAACTGTGGATATGAGGTACTGTAAAATGTGTAAACATTCAAATAAAATTAACTGTGTGGACTTGATCTACTTCAGGATTATGTTTTTAGTATTGAGTATTCCTTTCTTTTTTTTGATGTTCTGCAATTAATATAGGTATTTAAAATACATTGTTAAATATTTTGTTTTATTTTTGTGGTCCTAATTGCCTTGAAAAAAATCAGTCAACCTAAAAAGTGTATTTTAAAAACAAGTGTGTTGAAAGCATTTGACGTAGGACACCTCTCTATACATCATTTTTCTGTTTTCATAGCAGCATATTTCTATACGAACTTGTAGTTAAAAGATTTTACATGTGTGGCTGGATATTTGCTTCATTGATCCTGGGAGGGCCGAGGGAGTCAGCTGGAGATGGTGACACAAGAGAACCTTTTGGAAACATTCTGGCTCCCTAATTTGTTAGAAATAGACACACGAAAGTAGTTAAAATAATTCTGTGATTGCTTACTTTAGAGACAGAAGTTTTACCCTTTTATTGATCCACATTTAGGCTACGTGTTGTTCTCTTGTCGAAAGCTCTCTATGGTAACAGGAGATTTCTTCTAAACCGCCAACAGGAGTCAGCACTGTGTCCTTCAAGAAGCAAGCACTCCTCCGAGAATCATAAATATTAAATAAATTAAAATTATTTAGCATAAGATTTGAAGGGAAAAAAAAACAGAGAATAAACCACTGCTGTGGCATCATTTTCACAGAATTCTACATCATCCCAAGGAAATACCCTTGCTAAAATACTTGTTGGATGTCTTTTGCTTACATTTTTTAGTTAACTCAGTCACCCACATCTCCAGACATACACTCAGTGTCTAATCCTCTATGGATGCTTTCATTGCTGCTTGTTTGTAGTGTAAAAAATCCAGTTTTATGTTAAGTAGGTGGGTTGCTGATTTGCCAGCATGCCATTCTGGGTCGGGCATTTATGAATTGTTTTTAAGCACCAAAGTGGACAATGAAAGCTTTATATCAATTCCCCAATTAGCAGTAATCATTCTTGTTAAACTTTGGTAAAGAGCTGCAGTATGCAATGAATGTAAAGTATTCATTCCTGAGCTATGGCTTTTTTTTTTTTTCCTCCTGCTTTTCTACATTTTGTCAAATAGTCTTATGCTGCTTGTTATTTCTGTTCGTATTGCAGATTGAGAATGTTGATGTCTGCCTTAGCTTTCTGGCAGCCAGAGGCGTAAATGTCCAAGGTCTTTCTGCAGAAGGTAAGAGAAACAAATCATCACAACAAATAATAGGAATTTTTTTCTGAAAACTAATTTTCTTAACACAAATTATTTGCACCTAAATACCAAACTCCTTCTGTTTTGAGCAGCATGCAAATATAGATTAGTGATAGCGAATGAGAGAGAAGTTTAGATTTCCTTTTAATTTTCCCTTGAAATTGAACCAAGAAATTCAATATGTTTCTGAGACATTGTTTTAATATAATAATTTTTTCAGTAGTACTAATCTTTTCATGTTATCTCCACAATATTAGATAGGTACAGGGTTTCCTAAGCATACTTTTGAACTTGTTTATATATGGGATTCCAAACAACAAAAATGAATATGAGAATCTGGCTCAGTTAAGTAAACCCAGGGAAGACTATTTGTTTAAGCAAATTTATTATTAACAGTAATGCCATCAGGATGAGTGTGAAAATTATTGTATTCTTTTGGTGTCATGTATTAAGTGAAAGAGTGAATGGTCTTGCTGGCTTGTTATAGCCCTTTTTGCTGTATTAGTCACCTCAAGTAACTGTCTAATACAGTTACAACTAAGTTAAAAAATACATTAAGTCAAAACCATAAAAATACCAATTGTCTTAAATAGTATGTAACATTTGCCTTATTAATGTAAAATAAAGTCAGCTGGATACTTTATTTTGTAAATTAATAAAATGTATACAAGCATTTGCCCTGTGACTAATTAAGCGGTTCTGCAAGGTGCTGTGCACCTTCAAAATCCCTCTGACTTCCATGGAAGCTGAAGGCAATAGGTATTAACAAGACACAACCCTATATTTTTGTTTTCCTTGTAGCACAACTAAAAGCTAGAAGGAAAAATATTTTTTTTTATCCAGAGTTGATGATTTCAGTTGAATTTTAGAAGATCTCCAGAGAAAAAATTTTGAATGCTAATAACTGTTTTATTTTAAAATTAACTCAGAATTGCAATCTTTCACCATTTCCATGTTTCTAGTACCTTAACAGAAGTGTGACATGGGAACGATATTTACTATCTACTCACTTTGATTGTCTACTTCTGGAAAGCTCCTTAACTGATTTAAAAGAACCTTTGTATATGCTGTAGATATGCTGGTGCATGAGAGCACTGATCATTTACGTGTTACCATTCATCTCAAAGCTGTTTAGAACTTGGATTTTTTTACTGCAGCCCATTTTTACTTGCATATGAAATAACAGTCAAATGTGTGAATAGCATGAATTTATTTCATGAGAATACTCTTCATTGTTTAATACCATGACATGGCACATGACACTTTTTTCCTGTACTTGTTGAATCAAAATCTGAGTGTATTCTGTAATATATTCATTTATTCATACCTTTGTTTTGTTATGGAAAATAATTTTTGATTGACAGGATATAAGCTTCAACTGAGTTGCATTGTTTAAATGCTACTAAAAGCAATAATACTACGCAGTGTTAAATACAAGAACTGTTTTTTAAAACTTTCATTAATCTTTAAAACAGAATTTTAATAATGCAGACCTTGAGTTCTGAAATAAGATTAAAACTAGTTTTGCTGTTTTGCAGTTGGTCATGAATCTGGTGTAAATCTGCTAATATGTTTGTAATATTTGTTCAAAGTATAACAGAAGTGTGATTTGGTTAAATATATCATTCTTAGCATGTACAATCCTGAATATAACAATTTCTCTTTAGGAGAAGAAATTGAGAAAAACAAACTTTTTTTCAATCATGAAATTGTCAAGTTATCTTTGTAGTGTTTTGTCAGCACATTTATGTTTAAAATCAATTAAGTTTAGAAACCGTAAGTCTGTAATAGGCTTTGGTAAATATCTCTTGTTATTACTGGGCCATTTAGTAATGACCAGTTTCTGGAACAGTAAACCACGAGCTTAACGAGGACTAAAGATTTTACAACCAATTTCCCACCTCATTTTCACACTTGAGCAAGGAGATCTAGAACAAAAGTAATTTTCAAATCTCGACTGCAACATCTCTACTGGAGAAACCAAATGATAAATAATAAGCCAGTTGCTACAAAGAAAAATACTCTTCTCCTCTTCCCTGCAAGCGTTTAGTACATATTAGAAAATTCCGGATATTTTCCTGTTTAACACAAAAAGAACAAAATTTTAAGTTAAAAAACGATGAGTGAGGTTTAATAAACAAGGGGTTCTTTTTCTCAGCATCAAGTAATGTAAAATCATAAGGATAAATGAACTGGTATCACATGAAGAAAATCTTTTAGAATCAGAGCACCCTAAAGATGGGTAGATGTGTGGTTTTACTGTGTTTTTTTTTTAAGATAATTTTAAACATAAGTTTTCTGTGTTCCTTGATACTGATTTTCCTTGAAATCAACATGACTGCAAGAGTCATTGTAGCTTAAAAAACTTCCTAATTCTGAGAAAGTTCTTCTGTGTATCTCTGGTAATCTCGTGGGGAATCAAATATCCTGCAGCATCTTCACTGAGATGATGAAAAAGTATGGATACTTAGAACAAATTTCCATTTTGCAAAGTATATTCCAGTGTCCAGGGTTCTGTTTGCTTTTGAAGATTGGTTTGAGAGCATAGGGATTCCAGTGTTTGCTGGTCTGTTAGCATATGTACTAACACTTCACTTAATCTTACTGAAAGAAAATTAATATGGTTTAAAGGATGTGACTATGACAGCCATTGTTTATAAATTCTGCTTTAAAAATTACCTTAAGAAAGTCTGTGTAGCATATACAGCTCAGGATTTAGATTTGCAGGGAAGGCAAAAATATTACAGTATTGCATGTTAGATTACAAGGCTATAGGCCTAATGAAAACCTTTCACAAAAGGTTCAGTGCCAAAGATGATTAATAATGATGTTATAAACAGACCTAAGTGCTGCAAATAATTTCATTGACGCCTGAGAATTCTTTGTTGCAACAGAGATCCTTTATGAGCAAAGAATAACATTATCCTTTTAAAACCTTCATGTCAGGCTGAGGAAAGACAAAGAAAGGAATGAGAGACATGAATGGCTCACCAGAAATTCATACCGGTAGCTATTTTAGCATCATGTAAAAGCTGTAGTTTTGAGGTCTTCATTAATCAGTAATAGCAGTGTAAAATAGAAAGCTAGAAAATCGTGTCATTGGGAAGTTCAAAGACATAACCATGAACCTTATGGAAACCTTTTTTTAATAGGCATTTTTTCATTAACCGTCTTCTCTCATGTTCCTTGAAAATTCTTGTGAATGGATACATGCTCATCCACAAGCCTGTTACCATCTCCTTTTTCTGATTTTTCTAGAAGTCACTGTTTACTCCCAGTGTGCACAGAATTTGCCCTAAAAGCAAGAAGAGTAATTTAAAGCCATGACACAGAAGGGATGTGTACCTAAGGCCAGAAAGAATTCAGACTTTTCTAAATGCCCCTCTGCTTATTGAGAATATTTGTACTGTATTGAGGCAGGAGTGCTCATTTCAGATTATGTATATTATTTAAGGTTTGGTGTACTTTTCTTTATGACCATGAACATGTGACTTATCATGAGGACATTATGGAGATACGTGTTTATTTCAACAGTGACACATAAATAAGCAAAGATCATGACAAACAACAAAGTATCAGTGATACCTAACATACATGTCTATGATCTTAGAGATAAGTGAAAAGATAAAAGGCATAAGCACGTATAGCTATAGGTAGGTACAGAGATGTTTTAGTATAAAACTAACAAAACTGAAGCCTAAAACCACAGTGTTTTCACTTCTTTTTCTTTTTCTTTTTTTTTTTTTTTTCCTTAAATAGAAATAAGGAATGGAAATTTGAAAGCCATTTTAGGGCTGTTTTTCAGTTTGTCTCGGTACAAACAGCAGCAACATCATCAGCAACAGTACTACCAGTCTTTGGTGGAGCTACAACAGCAAGCCCCTTCACCTGCAGCTGAAATCAGCCAGTCCAAAACACACCAAGATATGCAGTCAAGGTAGGTTAAGAAGTTAATTTTCTCAGGTGCAAAATATTTTATTTGTCTGTTCAAAAAATACAAGTTTTTACAGAAAAATTAAGTTACTTGCAAAAGACTTAAAAGACTGGCATTTTGGGGTTTTTGGGTGTTTTTTTAGCTGTTTTTGCAATGGGTATAGGAAAACAGTATATTAAGAGTTTGTTTGGTCTTAAGCTTGCATATCTTGTGAGGAAAGCTAGAGTGAGAGAAGAAAACATTCCAAATTAAATTTAGTTCTAATTTTAATTAATTTTAAGGCATTCTTTCACTTTATTATTGATTCTACTGTTCTTTGCACAGTAAGAGATAGTTAGCACACCATGTGATTAATATACTTGTTATTTTTGTGGTTTCCTTGCATACCCAGTTCCACATCTGAATGAACAATTTCAGACGATTAGCAAAATACGTGGTGAAAAGGCATAATTAATAATTTAATTCATTAGAAACTCTTTGCATCCCCATGCATTCTGTTTTTGAGTGCCTAATTCTATTTGAATGTTTTTTGAAAGAGAGTAGAAATGGCCTTGATCTAATCTAGTTGTTTCTTTTAAGTGGTCAGTTTATGATTTAGTTTTAGGAAAGCAAAGCATTCAGCAGAATCCTTAATTGCTGAATTACATTGTTTTCAGACTGAAGCTGAACACGTATTTTGAGAAGGTAGTTGCTTACTGGCCGTGACAAAAGAATCAGTTTTAAACACAAATACCTGTTTAAACAGAAAGAGTATTAGCAATGTATATTTTATTGAGGAAGTTAAAAAAAAAGCCGTTCACGTGTAGGACTATGTAAAGTGTAGTTTAATGAAGAGCTTCATATATTGCTGTGTTGGGTTTAATACTTGTTCGATTTATTATTTGCTCGTTTAACACATTTTGCATTGCTGAACAATTGTATGCCCAGAGTGTGATGAGTCAATGATCTAGGATGGATTAAAAGTATCAGACTACAATAATGAAATTTTGGTTCTTGAGTCCATTCATATCTAAATTACCCTTTCAGGTTTATAATAAACATATTTCTTCCTCAGCTGAGAAAACTTTTCACACTTCAGCCCAACAGAAGCATTTGTCTTGAAACTAGGAATGTTGTAAAAATATGTTTATAAGAAAGTGTGGCTGATGGCATTTTTGTTATCTCATTTGATACAAAAGTTAAGATACACTTCCATTTGCCTTGGGCATTACAATGTGAAATGCATTTTTTTTTTCTCTACTACTGAAAATTAGTGTCTTTGAATGCTTTCTCCCTGAAGTTTACTATTAGCATGTAATCTGTAGAATTATGGTATGATCCTAGAAGAATTTGACCACTCTCAACATTTTCTGTTTTTCTGCTTTCTGGAGGATATTTAATACTGCATAAGAGGCAATAACGTCTTGGTATTCAGAAATTAAATGTTTTTCTATCATAAGGAAGACATTTTGAATATAAGTCTACAAGTGTTCTCTGCTTTAATCAGTGGAATTAAAGGTTTAGCCAGCTTAATGTAAATACCTTTGGTTATTGTTTTTGTTTATAATTTAGTAAAAGAACTGAAACATTTCCAGCTTTTCTAGTTTACCCATGGTGAATTTTTAATTAAAAAAATAGTTACCATTTCCCTTTATACATCACCACTATTGCAAGGAATTCTGTTAGTCAAAAAAAACTTGGAGCAAAGTAGTTGCTTACTCTTTGGAAGACAACGATTGCATACTAGCCCATTGTCTGCTCAGGAATGGTAGGCAAAGGGGAAGAAATTTTAAAGAGCTTTCTTTTCATTATAATTCCCCAAGATCACATGGTCCTTTGGCACCTTTTTCTCCTCTTCTACTTTGCTTTGTTTAAATATATTTTGTTACGAGGAAAGGCAATCATTCCATGTCCAGAACCCCAGCATTGTGCCTTTGTGAAGTGACATCTAAGGCTGCTTTTACAAAGTTTCTACTTCCATCAGCGCGCTTTAGACCTACTTTAATGCCAGTTTAAAATAATTTCATTCTTTGATTAAATTTCTGTTCATAGCTATGTTTCAGCTCCATATTATTTCTATGTAGAAAATGATTACACCACAATTGATACCATCTTATTTTCTGTCTATAAACAGAAAGCAAGAATTTTTCTGTTTGCTTTCACATATTCAGAAGTTCACTATTTGTCATGATAAACTTCTGTACTGCCTGAGAGAATATGATTTTCTCTATCCAAATATTTTTCAGTAAAGCTTTTAAAGATAAAGAAAGGTCCCTACTTCTAAAACCTTTCTTCTGTATGAAAGATTTCTATCTTCCGCTACAAATGCATCTAGTATTCTGAGCTGCTAGCAAAACAAAGAGCTCCAGGACTTAGAAACAAACAGAAACATAAATTTTTCAAATACTAATTGGCTTTTTCGTTTGTCACTGTTTTGAAGTAATACTAGGAAATTAGCATAAAATAATATGTCCCCTTCTAAGAAAAGGAACTACGTTTGGAAAACAGGTTTTCCACAAATAAGTGGGCATATACAAGTATACATTCATACGAACTCTCTGTGGTGGACTTAGCAACCTTTCTCTTCATAGCAGCCATTTAATTTAATTTAATTAATTCTTTTTTTTTCCCATCAAAACAAATATTTTGGAAAATAAATCAAAATTATTTCCAAACAGCTTTTTAGTTTTAAGTTGTTAATGAGTAAATAAAAGCTTCTGTTTAGACAGAAGACAAAATATGAAATCAAAAAAGAAAAGAAGCCTTTGATGGGATTCATCTTGCCTCTTTTCTGCCTTTTGCTATTTGAAGTGTGGACAGGTAACTTATATGACTCCCAAGACTTAATTTCTGACATGATTGGTTTCATGGCAACTGTGTCTCAGCATTAATTACAGCAGGAACCAACACGACTGACTGATTTACAGGGCAGGAGTTCGTGATTTAGAAGGTCCTAAGGAACTCAGATGGCTGCTCCATGGGACAACTGAAACCTTTAGGAATTTTTGGCAAAAAATAGATTCATACAGATACTTAAACCTTCCTCTTTCATTGAATGAAGAGTATAGAAAAGTGATAGAATCTAAGGGGTGTAATGTCACATTCTTCACCTTTTCCAAGTGAAATTATTAACTCGTTAAATAATATTTATTAATAATTATTAAATAATTATTATAAGTTAAATAATTAACTTATAAAAATTCTTTAATTATTTTAATTAAAAAATAAATCTAACTACTATCAATAATAGAATAATTTTACTTCTTTTCTAAAAGAGTGGTGATAAAATGAGCTATTTCATCCTTCCATAGCGGATGCTAATCTTTAAGGCAATTTATTAATACACATTATTGTGCAGCTATGCCTTACTGTTAGCCTGTTGCAGTTCTGAATATGCATTGAAAAATTCTTAATACTTTCTGTTTTCTAACATTTTATACTGTGAAAAGGGTTGGCATGTAGAAACCTTACAGCAGCAAATTACTTAAAGTGTATATGTTGGAAAAATTATTTGGCAAATGCATGTAACAAGTTATTTTCCATTAATTTGTTCTGTGGTCCTTTATTACCTAGAAATAGTTCTTTCAGCTTTTTGAGAGGAACAAGAAAAATTATCTTATTATTACGGCAAAAGCCAGATAATGAATATAGTTGTGAACTGAATGGCACATTCATCTTTATTCAGCAACGGCAAAACTTTTCAAATAGAATTTGAGTGAATTTTCAAGAGTGTTGTGAAAATTATCTTCTTATAGGTATTTTATTTTACTTGAAGACTCACATATTTCTACTGTGTTAGACACCTGAGAAATAAAACTGTCTTTGTGAGGTGTTATATCATAGTATACATTTAAGTGCATTTCATATGTATGTGTGCAGACATGTAAGGAAAAGCAAAACATATACACTGAAAAAGGTGGATGCCTTTTATAGACTTTGTACTTTTCTAAAATGTTCAGTAAGCAATCAGATTTTGTGTTGTAATTTAAATATTTGAAACCATGTCTTAATAACTGCAGTTGCTTTAGGTTAGATTATTCTGTCAGAAAAAAATATCTTCTTTGTTGCTTCCAGCTAAGGTAGAAGAAGCATATTGCTTAATTTCAGCTTGATTTCCTAGGAGGTAAAAAGCCATTGTGTGTGCTTTATTAAACAAGTATGAAAAGGTGATGCTTTCCACTGTTTCAGAGAGGAATACAGATTATGCAGAGGGAGAGAGAAATACCTCTGACAGAAGATGGTCAGGATACAGAAGTGGTAGCATTCAGGCCCTGCTGAAGGCCAAAGAAGTTTTGTCCTTGTATGTGCTGGGCTAGTGTCTCATGCTCCTAATTTAAGAGACCGGTCCTGATGGTGATTATGACAAAGACAGTGCTTCATCCTGATTTCCAGGTTATGATGTCCTCAGTAATGATCGATGTCTGTGATCATTACTTGGTTTGAGCCCATTCCGCATGCCACCAAAGCCAATCTGCTTTATTATCAATCTCAGTGAGAAAGTGTTTGGGCCCTTTGTCAACAAAACCTGAAAGAAGCATGAAGAATTATGTTAGGACTCTACAGCTTTCATAGCCAGGTTGTTTTTGTATGGTCAACAAACAGAAGCCCCAGGGGCAGGTTATAATCAGAATATCGTCAGACTGACAGGATTAGGTTTGTGCAGAAATTGGGAATTCAGGAGACTAGTTCAGACTAGTTCAGGAAGCTAGTTGTGCTTGGATGACTAGGTAATTGGCGTCTCCTACAGGAAACAACACAGATTAACAATGTAATTAAACTGATTTATGGAGAAGCCTCTCTCCCTTTAGAGTAAAGTTTACACAGAAGGACAACAAATTTTCTACAACAGGCTCCTAACAAAGTTATCTAAAATTAGTCAGTGTGGCAATACATTAATATTCCTAATCCCGTGTATTCCGTCCATAACCAAACTCAGAATTGTGAAAATTGTGCACACAGAATGCAAGCAAGATTCTGCATGTGAAAGAGTACCATTGGCCTATCTAATCCTAGGGCCAAAAGCA